TAGGAATGGCAGTGCCGTGGACCGCGGTGACCAGGCCAAGTATCTGGAGGCCGCTCTGTGTGTAGCGGGGAAGTGATGTGTCCTCGGGATAAACTGCTTCGTCTCCCGCTTCTGGTGTAGGGTTGAAGTTTGGTCCTACATGTTCTGCTTCGTTGGTGTTGACTTGTGCAGGCGTAACGTAACCGTTGTCGGCGAAGTGGAAATAGGTTTCGGCGTTGATGCTTTCGCGTGGATTTTCGTCATCCATTGGCACGTCGACGGAGCAGTAGGGGAGGGGTCCAGCTTCTTCCGAGGCTCCTTCCACGTTCTGCTCGTCCCAATCAGCTTCATCTTCTGCCGAAGCGAAGGCTCGGGTACCAAGAAAGCCATCGGAGCGGTCGGGGTTTCCTTCTTGCAAATTGGCGAGGTAGTATCGGAGGGTGAGGTTTTCGTAGAAGATGACATCACGTGCCGCTATTGTTTCCTTTGTCTCGACGTCGAAAATCTTCCATGCGTTGTAATGTTTTTCGATGCCCAGGTGTAGTCCCCACTGTGCGCGTTGGGAGAATCGGCCAGCTCGTGCAGATGGGGGCCGGTACTGTACCATGCAGCCGAAGACTCTCAACATTTTTGTGCTGCCCAGTTTTCCCGTCCACAGCACATGCGGTGATGTGTTGTTCGGGAGCGATGATGACGAGAGCAAGTTGTGCAGCATGACGGCGTGGTCCATTGCTTCGGGCCACTGGTGGTTGGGCAAGTGCATGCCACGTAGCAGCTTGCGCATGGTGTTCTGGAGGGTCCTGTTCATCCTTTCTGCTACGCCTTGCTGTTGATGGGCGTAGGGAAGGGAGATGAGTCGCTTGATTCCTCTCCCTGCCAAGTACTCCTTGAACCTCTGTGAGGTGTATTCTCCCCCTCCATCTGATTGAAAGCTTTTGAGTTTGACGCCTGATTCTCGTTCTGCTACTGGAAGCCAGGCGACGAAGGCTTCGAAGGCCATGTCGCGGCTTGGAAGATTTAGGTGCCAGACGTATCGTGTGGCTGCGTCGATGAAGGTGATGGTGTAATTGTACGCGTTTTGTCCAGGCTCGCGGTTGTACAGGATGTCGCTGTACACCTTTTCGAGTGGCGCGTAAGCTGGTGCGCTTGGGTTGTGGTGAGACGCGAACGGTTGATGCGGTAAGTCAGCTTCGGGACAGGTGAAGCATGTTCCACGGGCTCGCTGAAGTTCTTTGCCGTCAGTTAGGAGTAGAGAGTCTTTGTCGAGCACGCCTGCTCTTATCGTGTTATTTAACACCGTGTTGCTTGGATGACCCATTCTTGCGTGCCAGGTTCCTTCGGTGGCGCGATGTCCGGGTGAGCGCCGATACATGTCGGAGTTGGAGTAGAAACCGGCGGTAAAGTTGGTGCTTCGGTGGACTTCTCGTTGAGTCGGAGTTAGCTGCTGCGCGGGTGTTGGTGATGTATCGTCGGTGAAGATTGGTGCCGTTGAAGGACCAGCGATTGGTGTCGTTGTTGCCACTGCTGTTGTTGTCTCTGCTGCTGCCGATGTTGTCTCTGCTGCTGCCGGTGTTGTCTCTGCTGCTGCCGGTGTTGTTTCTGCTGCTGCCGATGTTGTTTCTGCTGCTGCCGATGTTGTCTCTGCTGCTGCCGATGTTGTCTCTGCTGCTGCCGATGTTGTCTCTGCTGCTGCCGGTGTCGTCTCTGCTGCTGCCGATGTTGTCTCTGCTGCTGCCGAATGTTGAATTGTCGCTAACGCTCTTGTTCTTTCTGCTTCAGGAATGGTATGTGAATACCAGAAGCCTTCTGGACTGAAGTCTGGGTCGAGATCCGGTGGATGTGACCAGGAGGTGAAGGCGACGATCCCGTCGCTGTCTGCGGTGCCGAGATCCGGAACGAAGTCGAGGACGAAGACATTATTTTTCAGGACTGCTGTAGAGACCGCCCTTCCCGTGGTACAGCTTGAACTCCTGGGTGGTGCTGTCTGCTTCGAGGTGGATACCTTTCGCCATCAGTTGACTAACGCTGAGTAAGTTGTAGCCGAGGCCTTCTGCTATTAAGACCTTCGACATCTGCAGTATGACATTTGTTTCTCGTGACTGAAGTTGAACCACTCCTTGTCGTCGTGTGCGTAGGTTTTGGTTGTTGGCGACGGTGATGACTACTTCGAGTTGGAGTTGGTACTCTCGCTGCACGAAGCGTCCTGAAGAGCACATATGCTGTCCGCAGCAACTATCCAAGAACCAAGTACCCTTTCCGGATGGTTCGCTTTGGGCGATAGCTGCATACGTCGGGTTCGGTTGAAGTGACTCGCGGCGGGGCGTACTATTGTCGAGTTGCTCTTCCGGTGAGTAGTGCGGCGGTGACTCGGTGATGCAGGAGTCGGTCAGTTTTGCCATGCAGCTGACGATGTTTCTTTCTCCTTGTGCAGATTGTGCTTTTGAAGGCTGAGACTGACTCGTGTGTCGATGCCACTTGGCTGCTTGAGGGTCGAAGTTGTCGCTATGGCGGTGTTAACTGTTGTCGATTCGGGCAGTGTGTGCGCGGGTGTCCTGACGTCTTGCAGAGATGGCCGAACGGAGGTACGGGCTTTGGTTGTTGTCGGCTGTTGTTGTTGTTGTAGCGTCGCTGAGTGTGAAACGCGAATTCGGGTACTGATGCTTTCTTCTTGTGCCGTTCCTCTTGCAGGTCCATGACTCGTGGGGTTCGCCTTTGTCGATGCCACTTGGCTGCTTGAGGGTCGAAGTTGTCGCTGTGGCGGTGTTAACTGTTGTCGATTTGGGCAGTGTGTGCGCGGGTGTCCTGACGTCTTGTAGAGATGGCAGAACGGAGGTACGGGCTTTGGTTGTTGTCGGCTGTTGTTGTTGTTGTAGCGTCGCTGAGTGTGAAACGCGAATTCGGGTACTGATGCTTTCTTGTGCCGTTCCTCTTGCAGGTCCATGTCTTGTTCCTCGGCGTGAACTTCGGCACAGAGTGCTGCTTCGGAGATTCTTCCGTGAGCTCGGAGAATGGCTTTTGTGGCGCGCCATTGAGGACCGAGGCCGCCGATGATGACTGTCACGAAGGCGTCTTCAGATATCGACCCTCCGCATCGAAGGAGTTTGTCGCGCAACTCGCGACAGCGGCTAATATACGCTATTCCCTTTTCGCCTGGTTTCATTTCGACTGTTGTCAGTTGCGCCATTAGTCGACTCTGATTTACGCTGTCTGTTGCTTGATACAGGCTTTTCAAGTGGCTGTATGCGAGCTCGGCGGAGTTGCCATATCCCCGGTAAGACCGTATATTCTGTTGCTGAGTCGGGGTGATATTCCTCAGTAGGATTGTGTACGCCATCATTGACTGATAGGTGTACTGCTGCTTCTCGTACTGTGTGCCGTTTGTTGGGTATGGCAGGGATCCGTCGAAGAAGCCGAGGATTAGCGCGCCTTCCATCATCAGCTCGAACTCGAATGACCAGGTAAAGAAGTCCTTTCCGTCGAAAGGTCTTGACGTCTGCAGCTTCAGAACGTGCGCGAACTGCGACTGAACTTGTAGCGCGTCCAGTGCCTTCTCTTGTCCAGATGCAGGCTGCGTTTGTGGCATAAAGCTGACGGAGCCGCGCTGGGGCTCGTACGGAGCAAAGGTAGGTTGCTGCTGTTGATTTCCACGTGCGTAGGATGAACCATCAAGGCTCATTAGAGTCACGTCGTTGTTGTTGTTGCTGTTGTGTGACTGCGCAGGTACCGATTGCTGGTGTTGCTCGTTGAAGGACATGAAGGAGAAAAACTTCTCCATCATGCTCTGGTCGAAGCCTGCAGGTTGATTCGCGGGAGTCTCGGTGGATGTTGCACTGGGTCTTGTTGCCGTACCCTCCTCTGTCTGTAGGCCAGAGGCAGGAGGTGGAGTAGGAGTAGTGCCGGGAGAACCAATAGAGGAACTCCTTTCCTTCTGGGTAGCCATGTCTTCTGATGTTGTAGATCAGGGTCGTCGCTAGGATTCGAGGGCGCCTGATGCATCAGACAGGCCCTTCGGGCCCGTCTGATCCATCAGATTCTGTTTTTTTACCGTGCCTGATGTATCAGATATTTTCGAAATGCATGTCTGACCAATCAAATGGGTTTCTCGACGCAATTGATTCGGACTTGACCAGTCACAGCAGAATCACCCCTCACACCAAATTCGGCCCGTCACAGCAGATTCGCCGTCACCCTAACACAGCAGATTCGCCCTGTCACAACAATTTCGCCCCTGACACAGCAGATTCGCCCCCTGACACTAACAGATTCGCCCCCTGACACTAACAGATTCGCCTCTTGACGCATCAGATTCGCCCATCCACAACTCGAATCCCATATTCACCCCTACATAATTGGATTCGGTATCAGATGAAACCAAAACAAGAACCTGATTGATCAAATAAACTAAAAAACTACTCCTTATCAATCAGAAATTACAAAAAACCAATTTCTGAAAAATCAGATGAACTCTAAAAACTCGATCTGAATATAAGGCAAACAGACAAAAAAAATCTGCTAGCGGCGACCCTGTTGTAGATGTCTTGATAGTTGAATTCCCCCTGATAGCTCTCATACCATGTTGGGCTGAGAAAATAGCCCTTAGGATCTTTGCAGGGGTGAACTCTGGGTAGAACTGATGTAGTAGCGGAAGCGTTTAATGAAGAGTTGTGAACCACCTTGCGCTAGTATGTGAGGGCAAAGTTGATTGATTAAAGCAACAGTATACTTTTGCAAGCGGGGGTTTCAAAAACCTTAGGAACTTGAAAAACTGGTTACGCGATTACAACCCCAGCCCCCCCTGTTGAGAGGCGAAGGAGTCCCCAAACGCCCCACGTCCGGCTCCCCGCACTCACAGTTCAAAACCTGAGGAATTGCAAAAGGAAACTGAAACTGCGGTAGTGAGAAGATAGCCCACATGCTCCTACTTCGGTAGGTTATTCCGTGTAGACTAGGCAACATTGTAACCTAACAGCTAGATTTAGGGACAGAATCTGTTACTGAACCGCGTAACGCTGTTTGCGCGCATGCGCGGACAAATCGCCACGCCTTCGCACTCGCTTAGGCCACACCACCTTAGACAAGACCGCCCCACGCCTCCTCTCGCTGCCTCACCGCGAGGCCATTGGCGACAGCGCCTCCCCTCCCCACAAAGTCCCGTTGAGCCTCGACGCGCTAGCATCTGCATCCCATCCCTTCCTCCACTCCTAGCTCGCCGTCCGCCGTTCGCCGTGCGCGATTGGGTACGTCATCCCCCCTTCCCGCCACGCCTTCTCTTCTTCCGGGTACGCCCTTGTTTCCTCCCCTGCACGCCCTCATTCCAGAGCACTGAATTTCCCTTTCCGCAACCTCATTTCCGCCCGAAATCCCCTTTCCGCAACCTCTCGCCTTACCCATTCCTGCTCCTATTGCCTCCCGGTTCAAATTCTTCTTTCGCCTCCCCGCGCGTGCTCCTCTCGCATCCCCTCGCTCTCCTCTCGCTTTCCCCGCCCGGCCTCCTCACGCCTCCCCGCGCGCTCGACTCTCGCCTCCACGCGCGGCCTCCTCTCGCCTTGCCGCGCGTTCTCCTCTCGCCTCCCCGCGCGCGCGACTTTCGCCTCCCCGCGCTCTCCTCTCGCCTCCCCGCGCGTGCGACTCCCACCTCCACACGTGTCCTCCTCTCGCCTTCCCGCACATGCGCATCTAGCCTGCGTCGTCGGCTTCACCCTGCCTCCCCTCGCTGCCTCTCCGCGTCTCGCGGCGGCCTCCCAAAGCGAGCTGCACTCGAATAAGGCCCTTCTCCTCCTCTCACCACGCCTTCTCCTCCTCTCACCACGCCTTCTCCTCCTCTCACCACGCCTTCTCCTCCTCTCACCACGCCTTCTCCTCCTCTCACCATGCCTTCTCCTCCCGCCACCCCCTCTCCTCCTCCCACCATGCCTTCTCCCCCTCCCGCCGTGCCCTATCGTCCTCACGCCATGCCTTCTCCTCCTCTCGCCATGCCTTCTCCTCTCGCCATGCCTTCTCCTCCTCTCACCACGCCTTCTCCTCCTCCCACCATGCCTTCTCCTCATCCCACCATGCCTCCTCCCCCTCCCGCCGTGCCTTCTCGTCCTCCCGCCACTCCTCCTCTCCTGCTTCCCACCATTTCCCCGCCTGCTTCCCCTATTTTCCCCCTCTGCTCCTCTTTCCCCATCTTCTCAACTTTCCCACCTCCGCTCTTTTTTCCCCTCTGCTTCTCTTCTCCCCCTCTTCTCCTCTTTTCCCTCACTGCTCCTCTTTCCCCCCTGTGCTCCTCTTTTCCCCCCCCTACTCCACTTTCCCCCTCTGCTCCTCTTTCCCTCTCTGCTCCTCTTTTTCCCGTCTGCTCCTCTTGTCCCCCTCAGCTCATCTTTCCCCCCTCTGCTCATCCTTTTCCTTACTGCACCTCTTTCCACCCACCGCTCCTCTTTTCCCCCTCTGCTCCTGTTTCTCCCCCCCGCTCTCAGTTTTCCTCCCCTGCTCCCCTTACCCTCTCTGATCTTCTTTTCCCCCTCAAATCCTCCTTCCCATCCGCACCTCCCCCGTCCCCTCTTATTCCTCTCCCTTCCCCGCCAGCTCACTCACCCCTTTCTTCTTTTGCTTCTCAGCCGCCAGTGAACCCGCGGGCTCCGGTTCTTTAGTTGTTCTGCCTGATATTCTCTACCCTTTACGACACACCTCTTCTCCCCACACCATGCTCGTCATGCCATATTCCCTTCCCGCCATGCCATTTTCCCTGGCGGTGAAGGCCGTGAGAGTGCTCTGCCTACAGGTGGCTGATGCTTTCTCCCGATCGACATGGCGCAAGGTGAGGGGTGGAGGAAGTGGGCGGGGGACGGGAGAAGTGGGGAGGGGGGGTGGGAAGGGGACAGGCAAGGGCCAAGCAAAGAGGAAGGTAGGGAGGAGAATTTGAAGTGCAAAGAGGCTGCTGTCCATGTGCTCCCTCGTGCTCGTCTCCAACATGCAGAGCCCCATCCTTGCCTTTCCGTCCCCAACCCCACCCTTCCCACCCAGGTGCCATGAAAAGCCACGCTCATCTTTCTTACTTCCCATTCTTACGTCCCATCTCCCCTCCCTCCCTTCCTATCTCCTTCCCTCCCTGCCCTTCCCTTTCTGCCCTACCCTTCCTGCAATTCTTACCCCTCACATACTTCCATTCCTTACTTTTTTTCCACATCCGTGCCTTCTCATCTCACATCCCTGCCTTCTCATCTCACATCCCTGCCTTCTCATCTCACATCCCTGCCTTCCCATCTCACATCCCTGCCTTCCCATCTCACATCCCTGCCTTCCCATCTCACATCCCTGCCTTCCCATCTCACATCCCTGCCTTCCCATCTCACATCCCTGCCTTCCCATCTCACATCCCTGCCTTCCCATCTCACATCCCTGCCTTCCCATCTCACATCCCTGCCTTCCCATCTCACATCCCTGCCTTCCCATCTCACATCCCTGCCTTCCCATCTCACATCCCTGCCTTCCCATCTCACATCCCTGCCTTCCCATCTCACATCCCTGCCTTCCCATCTCACATCCCTGCCTTCCCATCTCACATCCCTGCCTTCCCATCTCACATCCCTGCCTTCCCATCTCACATCCCTGCCTTTTTTCCTCACATCCCTGCCTTTTTTCCTCACATCCCTGCCTTTTTTCCTCACATCCCTGCCTTCCCTCCCATAGGTTTGGGGCCCCACTATATACCGTTGCGACACCACGTGCCGTACAGCCAGTATGCATACGCAAAGCTGCAGGGTTTGCATGCAATCCTGCTACACACAGGGCAAAGCCAGGCCCGTGCAATTTTGGCGGCATGAAGGGAGGAGCAGCAGGTCCAAGAGTTTGGGGGGAATGAAGGCGACACAAAGAGTAGTGGAAGGTGCTGTCTTGTATGGTGTTTTGCGATGATTTTATCATGTGTACATACTCCTCTCAAGCTTCTCTTCTCTACATCAATGCTGTGCTGTGCCCATTTGAAAGAACAGAGGTCACATGACAACCATTGGATTCCACTACCATTATTCAGAATGTAAATTAGTTGTAATACAATGCTATGGCTAGATACATTGAAGGCATACATATTGTAGACTGAGATTACTACTCCATTGTGCTCCATGCTGCACAGAGCAGATATCGAGTAAAGATGATCTGGAAATCCGGAGGACAGAGTACAAGCGTGCAGGAAGAGCGTGTTGGGGGGGGGGGTAAGGGGGTGGAGACGAACAAGGGCAAGCAGGTGGGGAGACAAAGCGTAAGGGGTGAAAAACTCAGAGAAAGGAGGGTGATAACATAGGAAACAACGGGGGAAGGAGGGTTAGGGGAGAACTGTGGGCAAGACGCAATCGAAGAGAAAGCAGGCAAAGGAGAAGCAGGGACGCTAATGAACGGAAAGAGAGGGAGAAACGAGGGGAAGCAGAGGGCGAAAAGATGAGAAGAGAGGCAATGAGAGGGAGCAGGGGAGGTGATGAGAGGGAGCAGGGGAGGTGATGAGAGGGAGCAGGGGAGGTGATGAGAGGGAGCAGGGGAGGTGATGAGAGGGAGCAGGGGAGGTAATGAGAGGGAGCAGGGGAGGTGATGAGAGGGAGCAGGGGAGGTAATGAGAGGGAGCAGGGGAGGTGATGAGAGGGAGCAGGGGAGGTGATGAGAGGGAGCAGGGGAGGTGATGAGAGGGAGCAGGGGAGGTGATGAGAGGGAGCAGGGGAGGTGATGAGAGGGAGCAGGGGAGGTGATGAGAGGGAGCAGGGGAGGTGATGAGAGGGAGCAGGGGAGGTGATGAGAGGGAGCAGGGGAGGTGATGAGAGGGAGCAGGGGAGGTAATGAGAGGGAGCAGGGGAGGTGATGAGAGGGAGCAGGGGAGGTAATGAGAGGGAGCAGGGGAGGTGATGAGAGGGAGCAGGGGAGGTAATGAGAGGGAGCAGGGGAGGTAATGAGAGGGAGCAGGGGAGGTGATGAGAGGGAGCAGGGGAGGTGATGAGAGGGAGCAGGGGAGGTGATGAGAGGGAGCAGGGGAGGTGATGAGAGGGAGCAGGGGAGGTAATGAGAGGGAGCAGGGGAGGTGATGAGAGGGAGCAGGGAAGGTAATGAGAGGGAGCAGGGGAGGTGATGAGAGGGAGCAGGGGAGGTGATGAGAGGGAGCAGGGGAGGTGATGAGAGGGAGCAGGGGAGGTGATGAGAGGGAGCAGGGGAGGTGATGAGAGCGAGCAGGGGAGGTAATGAGAGGGAGCAGGGGAGGTGATGAGAGGGAGCAGGGGAGGTAATGAGAGGGAGCAGGGGAGGTGATGAGAGGGAGCAGGGGAGGTAATGAGAGGGAGCAGGGGAGGTGATGAGAGGGAGCAGGGGAGGTGATGAGAGGGAGCAGGGGAGGTGATGAGAGGGAGCAGGGGAGGTAATGAGAGGGAGCAGGGGAGGTGATGAGAGGGAGCAGGGGACGTAATGAGAGGGAGCAGGGGAGGTGATGAGAGGGAGCAGGGGAGGTGATGAGAGGGAGCAGGGGAGGTGATGAGAGGGAGCAGGGGAGGTGATGAGAGGGAGCAGGGGAGGTGATGAGAGGGAGCAGGGAAGGTGATGAGAGGGAGCAGGGGAGGTGATGAGAGGGAGCAGGGGAGGTGATGAGAGGGAGCAGGGGAGGTAATGAGAGGGAGCAGGGGAGGTGATGAGAGGGAGCAGGGGAGGTAATGAGAGGGAGCAGGGGAGGTGATGAGAGGGAGCAGGGGAGGTGATGAGAGGGAGCAGGGGAGGTAATGAGAGGGAGCAGGGGAGGTGATGAGAGGGAGCAGGGGAGGTAATGAGAGGGAGCAGGGGAGGTGATGAGAGGGAGCAGTGGGGGAAAGGGGAGGGAAATCAGGGGATGGAGAGGGGGAACGAGGGGAAGCAGAGGGGGAAATGATGGGATGGAGAGGGGGGAACGAGGGGGAGCCGAGGGGGAAACAAGGGGTAGGAGTTGGGGGAACAGGGGGGATCAGAAGGGAAAATGATGGGAAGGAGAGGGGGGAACAAGGGGAAGCAGAGGGAGAAATAAGGGGAAGGAGAGGGGGGAACGAGGGGGAGCAGAGGAGAGGGCGGAACGAGGGGGAGCAGAGGGGGAAACAAGGGGAAGGAGAGGGGGGAACGAGGGGGAGCAGAGGGGGAAACAAGGGGAAGGAGAGGGGGGAACGAGGGGGAGCAGAGGGGGAAACAAGGGGAAGGAGAGGGGGGAACGAGGGGGACAGAGCAGCAGGTAAGGCCAGCAGAGGGTGAGCGTGAAGCCGGTGACGTGCTAAGAGAGGCGCGCTATGGGTTACACGAGAAGCACTCGCCTGCATAAAACTTGAGAGGAATCGCAGTGCGTGAGCGGTGAGGCGCTATGCGGTGTGGCGCTTGGCGATCGCGCGATTTTCTGTGAGGCGCTTATCGGTGGGGCGCGCAGCGGGGCATTAGGCAAGTCGCGGGTGACGCGCTAAGAGGGTGTCGCGAGCTGCGGGTTCGGCGATCGAGCTGCAGGTTTCGCAAGAATATCGCCAGCGAGGAGCACGCATGGAATGCGGCGCGCCTCTTCGAAGGCTATTACTACATCGCGCGCGAGGCCTTAGAACGAGTCTATTCATGAGAGAGGAAGGTGTTTGTAGAAATGCTTATTCAATCATCTCGCGAGCCAGCCTTGTGACACGTGTTCCCTTACCAACAGCGAGTTTCTTAGTGGTACCGCTACTCCTCGGTCCCCTTAGTCGCCTTTTATATTGCCTGTGGGAAGGCATTTCCTAGAAATTAATCGCTTATCCTTCAGTTATGAGTGTCACCCCAGGTGTTGGGTGATGGGAGAGTTCCTCGTGTTCGCAACTAACAGCCTCCCAAACTTTCGCCGACCCTCTCGCCAAGCCTGTTCGTTTTCGTTGGGGTTTCCTTTTGGTGGGTACTGTTCCAAAACCAGCAGTACTTTCAAATGTATACTGCTGCTTTAAAGCAAAGAGATACAAGATTATATAAGAGTACAGGGAATACGAAGAGATACGATTCCAACTGTTTTACTGTTGCTGTTGCGGTTCGATACAGTGACGACTCGGGCAACTGCTCTGTAACGAGTCAGTTGTGTGTCCTTGCTGTCGCGCTGTACTTGTCAGGTCAAAGGTCGCTGACCTTTGACTTTCGCGTAACCTCCAGCAACTGCTCAACCTCCAAGGGTTGACTCGCCAGTGCTTCGATATGCTTCGCTTCGCTTCTGACTTGGTGTTTCGACACGACAGAGGCGCTTAGAGTTAATTGTTTCCAACATTTTTTTTTAAGGTAAAAATCATTTTTTTATAGTGCAAAAAGTTCTGCACTCGTGGTCCAGACGAGCTGTTGTCTGGACCTGAGTCCCAAACGTCCGGACGGAGCTCTGTTCGGACGGTTTGGGGGCTTCGTCCGGACATTGGACGGAAACAGAAAAAGTTTCGCTGCCTTGGATTACCTTGACGACATCACTTGAGACTAGGAACCACATAAGCATTTTAACATTTTGAAATCATCAATGGTGAGTACAGTTCAAATATCCCCTGCCGAATCCTGATTCCACCCTAGGGTTGCTCCAGTTCTTGGGATCATCACCGCCTGTTGGTCATCTTCACCATTCCACGTTGCTCTGAAATCTCCACCCCGCATGTCACACCACGTTCTCCCATCGCCGGTCATCGCCTGTGCTCCTGGAGTCACTGCGCCGGCTGTCGCTTATTCGGTTGTCGCTTGAATTGTCGAACCTCCTTCCTCACGCCTCATACCTCGTTGCACCGCGACGATGTCGCAAACAGGATCCAAAGCAGCCGCAGGAGTCGCAGGAGCCGCAGGAGTCGCAGGAGCCGCAGGAGCCGCAGGAGTCGCAGGAGTCGCAGGAGTCGCAGCAGCCGCAGGAGTCGCAGGAGTCGCAGGCGACGAGCAGTTCGCGGCCACGGCGCTGATCCCCGCGGGAGACACCCCCACCGCATCGGGGGAAGACGGTCCCGCCGCTTTCGCGGGAGACACCCCCGACGCTTCCGCTTCGCTCGATCGAGCCGATCTCGCCACGCAAGCGTCGACGGTGCCGTTGGATTCAGAACGGCGGGATCCGGTAGAATCAGACTCGCTAGAAGCAGCGGCAAAGCCCGGGGATGTAGGGATCCGCCATCCCATTGTCCCGTGCGGGGGTCTCAAATCTGCCGCGCATTCCATCCCCGAAGCAGACATCCCCGTTTTAAGCAGCATGGGAAGCACGTTCGGCGCTTTCACCCCCGGCTCCGTTCCTCAGGACGGACTCTTCTTACCCACCCTACCGCAGGTTCGGGTAGACTTCCCGCCGGGCCACCTGGTTCGGACGACGAGCCAAGACAGCAGCGTGGCGGCCACGCTCGGCAGCCCGACGGGAAGCATAATGTCGCTGGATCAATTCTCCACGTGCTCGTCTATCCCGCCCTACCACATGTCGCCCGCGCCTTCCTTCACCTCTGATCAGCCTATGGCGGACTTAGCGGGAACAGGCCTCGTTACAAGCAGACTCGGTATAACGAGCAAGGCGCTGTTTTCCAGCCCCGGGGAAAAGCCATCAGGGGGGCAGTCGGCGGGCCTGGCGGAGCGGGAAGCAGGGGGGAGCAGGTTCGGCGGGGCAGGCGCAACCTACCCTGCTGCGCCCACCGTTCAGACGCTCGTCGTGGTTCGGCACGCCGAGCCTATTGACGAGCAGGACGACGGCTGGGCAGCAGGCTCGGACCGACCCTGGGACCCGCCGCTGTCCGCGCGAGGCGCCAAGGCGGCGGAGGAGGTCGGGCAGGCGCTGAGGGCGCGGGGCTTTGGCGCGGCGAGGGGTGGCGGGGGGAAGGCGGTCGACGAGGGGAAAGCACCGGCGGAAGGGCAGCAGGAAGGGGAGCGGGTGAACGAAAGGGAGGGCAAGAAAGAGGGCGCTGTGGTGCGCGTGGTGGTGTCGCCGTTTCGCCGCTGCGTGCAGACGGCCGTTCACCTAGTGGCGGGGCTGCTGAGCTCACGCACGGGGGTAGGGGCGGAGGGGGAAAAGGGGGAGGCGGACAGCGCAGGCGAGGGGGCGGGGGCGTCGGAGGGATTGCAAAGGGCGGAGGGACAGGCCCAATTGGAAGCTTCGCTTTCGGGTGTCACTGTCACGGTGAGGCGCCTAGCCATCTCCCTCCTGCATTCCTTCCCCCGTCCCCGTACACCCCCCCTCCCCCTCTCTGCTCCTCCTCTCCATCCCCCGTCACCTCATCTCTCTCTTTCCCTTCTCTGTCCTCCCTTCCCCCTCGTTCCCTTCTCTGTCATCCCATCCCTCTCTCCTCGCATCCCTCTCTATCCCGTCTCTCGCTGCTCCTCCTCGTTCTCCTCTCTGTCCCCTAGCTCCCCAACTCTCACCACTCCCCGTCCTCCGTCCCAGCTCCCCTATTCCTGCCGAGCCCTCACTCGTGTTTCCGCTTTTTCCTCCCTGGGCCCCTACTCATGCCTTTCTCCTTTCCTACTTCCGCCAACCCCGCCGCCCCTTTTCCCCCGCTTCCGCCCACAGGTGTCATTCAGCCCCGCCCTGGCTGAGGTGATGAACACACGAGCCCTGAGGCGCTGCACGGAGGAGCGCCCACCAGCGGCGTCCATCCCACACAGCAGCGTGGCGGAGCATGCAGGGCTGGCGGCAGCAGTGGAGGCAGCAGCAGCAGAGGCGCGCAGCAAGGGGTGGGTTCTGGGGGAGGGCGACCTGAAGGCGCTCTTTCCCCCCGGCACCACCTTCTTGCCGCTCCCTGCGTTCGCTAGTGCTGGTGGCGCTACTGCTGCCCCTGGAGAGGGGAGGGCAGGCAGGAGTGTGCATTCTGAGGTGAGCTGGCACACGCACACCACTGTGCATGCCATGCATAGCCTTGCATGGTTGCCCACCATCTTACCCATTTTACGGGTGGTACAGCCTGAAGGGCATTCCGGAGAGCATCGGCGCACTGAAGGAGTTGCGCCGCCTGCACGTGCTCAACATCTCGTGCGCGCTGCCCAACGTGGGGGAGGAGTGGCGCAAGCTGGAGGAGGTGCACCTGGAGGAAGTCAGCGCGGACCACCTTCTGCCCATCTTCCTCGCGTCTCTCGCGCTCCTCACCATCCGCCGGTGCCGCTTCCTCCGCGCCCTCCCCGACGACATCGACACGTCGTCAGCCCTTCGCGAGCTCGAAATCGTCGATGCGCCTCTCACCTCGCTGCCGCGTCGATCTGGATGCTGACGTCACTGGAACGGCTGGTGCTGGCGCCGTACGGGTCGTTGAGGGCGCTGCTGGCCGCACAGCTGTGTGCAACTCGGGGCGCGGCCGGCAGCGCCCTCAACGACCCGTACGGCGCCAGCACCAGCCGCTTCAGTGACGTTAGCATCGAGATCGACGCGGCAGCGAGGTGAAAGGCGCCTCGACGATCTCGAGCTCGCGAAGGGCTGGCGCCGGGTCGATGTCGTCGGGGAGGGCGCGGAGGAAGCGGCACCGGCGGAAGGTGAGGAGCGCGAGAGACGCAAGGGAGATGGGCAGGGGGTGGTCCGCGCTGACTTCCTCCAGGTGCACCTCTTCCAGCTTGCGCCACTCCTCCCCCACGTTGGGCAGCGCCGCGAGATGTTGAGCAGGTGCAGGCGGCGCAACTCCTTCAGCGCGCCGATGCTCTCCGGAATGCCCTCCAGATGCGAGTGCTTGCCCACACCGCTGTACACCTGGTGTCTTGTGTGCACACAAGCACACCATTTGCACGCAAATGCATTCGTACATGCATGCTCGCACAATTACCATTTCCTTCCCTTCCGCCTGTACACTCTCTTCCTCATGTCCCTCGAGAGTGCACGCGATCGCTTCATGCTTGCCCATTATCCCTCCCTTTTTTTCCCATCCCCTCATCCCCTCGCCCACTACCAGTTCCCCATCTTCCCGGAATCGCTCGAGAGTGCACGGGAGCGCTTCACGCAGGCCTTTGATGACGTGGCAGCGCTCTTCCCCAGCGACAACATCCTCTGCGTGACACATGGCGACGCTGTAGCGGCCAGCGTGGAACGCTTAGCGCCCGTCACCGTCGTCGCTGTCGATTTCTGCGGCTACTCCTGGTCGCAGCGCCGTGCTGCACCGCTCTACACCCATCCCAGCCGCCTCCACCATGATTCTCACCACTCGCACCACCATGCCTCCCTGCCGCCACTGCCCCCGCCACCGCCCCCGCCCCCCACTCCTGCGAACGAGCCTGAGAGTCTTGATGGTGAGGAAGGGGTGGGGGGATCCAGACAAACTGTGTCAGCCAGTTTTGCCGCAGCTGTAGTAGCAGCAGGTTCGGAGACCGAGGCTGCTGCTGTGGCGGCGGCGGCTGTAGCGGCTGTAGCAGGGCTACAGATTAGCAGACGAGGTGGGCTGGGTGGTGTGGTGGAAGAGGGGGAAGAGGAGGTGGAAGGGGAGGAAGGTGGGGACGGTTCGGACGGCAGGAGTGGGGGAAAGCAGGGGGCGTTGAGTGACAGTGTGGTGATTGTAGGGGGGTCGACGGCTTCTGATATAAGCACGCACGAGAGTGAGGACGATGATAAGGACACAGTAAACAGCAGCATTGACGTGGGGCCTTCGCTCTCCGAGGTGGCTGAAGGGGATGAGGAGGGGGAGGAGAGGGGGGCGGGGGAGGAGGGAGAGGAGGTGGGGAGTGAGAGCGGGCAGGAGGGGTTGGGAGGGAGAGGGAGAGGGGAGGCGAGGAGGGGGGGAGGGATGGAGGTGGGGGAGTGGGAGCTGCTGACGAGTTCCGGGTCCACTGGAGTGTGCTGGATCTCCAACATCGCTCTTGCTGCAAGGGATGATGAAACACCCACCAAGGGGCTGGCTTCCTAGTGTGCTCGCTGATTGAGGCGTCTCGCAAGTCGTGTGCTGGTATGTGCTGAATCTCTGCTGGAACTTCAGAAAGTGTTGTCCGGGACGATGAGATAAAACCAAGGGGCTGGCTTCATAGTGGTCAATGCACCAGTTGCAGCTTGCTGTTCGCTCCTTGCTGCTCACTGCATGCGCCTGTGCCAAGGGTTTTGAGTGTGCTGTGGTGTATTGCTCGAAGTGTCGTCTATATATTTCTATCTTGTGGGTTGTGGAAATGAAGTAACAATTCATTATCAGCTAGACACCTGTGATGTGTCTTGGAGATACACACATTATAAACTTTGTTAGCTTCTTTTGTGTAATCCTCGTTACTAGTAGTCTATAGGGTCTAGGTCAGGCCTCGTTCTATCAGTGATAATTACCGTACCCTGATACCGGTACACTGATGAAGCAGATGGACCCGCGCTCGTACGGAGCAAAGGTAGGCTGCTGCCGTTGATTTCCTCGTGCGTATGATGAGCCGTCGAGACTCATGGGAGTTGCTCCGTTGTTGTTGCTGTTGTGTGACTGCGCAGGTGCCGATTGCTGGTGTTGCTCGTAGAAGGACATGAAGGAGAAGAATTTCTCCATCATGCTCTGGTCGAAGTCTGCAGGTTGATTCGCAGGAGTCTCGGTAGATGTTGCCCTGGGTCTTGTTGCCGTACCCTCCTTTGTCTGTAGGCCAGAGGCAGGAGGTGGAGTAGGAGTAGTGCCCTGGGAGCCGTTGGAGTTGCTCCTTTCCTTTTGTGTAGCCATGCTTGATGTTATCGGTATAGAAGTTGAATTCCCCCTGATAGCTCTCATACCATGTTGGGCTGAGAAAGCCCTTAGGATCTTTGCAGGGGTGAACTCTGGGTAGAGTTGGTGTAATAGCGGAAGCGTTAATTAAAGAGTTGTGAACCACCTTGCGCTAGTATGTGAGGGCAAAGTAAGTTGATTAAAACAAAGAGATACAAGAATATATATAAGAGTACAAGGAATACGAAGAGGTACGGTTGTAACTACTTTACTGTTGCTGTTGCGGTTCGATACAGTGACGACTCGGGCAACTGCTCTGTAGCGAGTCAGTTGTGTGTCCTTGCTGTCGCGCTGTATTTGTCAGGTCAAAGGTCGCTGACCTTTGACTTCCGCGTAACCTCCAGCGGTTGCTTCAACCTCTGAGGGTTGACTCGCTGGTGCCTCGATATACTTTGCTTCGCTTGTGTCTTGGTGTTTCGACACGACAGAGGCGCTTAAGACCGATTGTTTCCAACACTCCCCTTCGCTTCTGGAGTGTCGCTGACGTGGCTCTATTCGAACTTCTGCTTTCCGAGCTTCTTGGTCAGGTAGTCAGCTGCCATCTCGGACGTGGGACAGTATGACAGCTCGAGCCTTCCTTTCTCGATCTCGTCCTTCACGAAGAAATATCGCAGGGCGATGTGTTTCGTCCTGTTCGCGAAGCCGTTCTTGTTGGCGATGCGAATTGCCGACTGGTTGTCGCAGAACAGAGTGAAGCTGGGTAACTGAGCCAGCTTCGCTTCTTCCAGTAGTTCGCGAAGGTAAAGTCCTTCCTTGGTGGCTGAACAGAGTGCAATATATTCTGCTTCAGCTGACGAGAGAGCTATTAATTCCTGCTTGCTCGACTGCCAAGAGATAGGTCCGATCGGTTCGAGGCGGTAGATGTAGCCAGTGCGAGAACGCCTGTTGTCGGAATCGCCAGCGTGATCGGCGTCGACGTAGCCGATTAACTTAGGCGGCGTAGTTGCGTTCTTGTAATAAGTTAGACCGATCGTCGGGGTGCTAATAAGGTAATGAAGGGCGCGGTCGAGTTCTGCTAGATGTTCCGCTTCGGGCCTCTTGAGGTAGGTGGCGAGTTGGCTTGCAGAGTACGATAGGTCTGGGCGGCAGGTGACAGCTGCGAAGAGAAGGCAGCCCAGCTTTCTCTGGTAGTCGCGTATGCCGGCGGGCTTGAGTAGAGCGGAGCCTTCCTTGTTCCCTGACGTGTAGCGGTACGGTGTAGAGATGATAGTTGGTGTAAGTGCGAAGCGCTTGGCGATGGTGTCGGCGTATTTCGCGGCGCTGAGGTAGATGGCGTCTTGCAAGGCTGAAGTGCCTTGGTGAAGATATCAGAAGTGTTGGCCCTGGAGGCCACGTAAGCAAGGCGCAGCTGACCACGCTGCTGCAGCTCACGTGCAAGGAAGTAACGAAGAGCAATGTGCTTCGTTCTGTGCTCCAGTCTGTGCTCCTGACACAAGGCCAGCATGGCCTTGTTGTCTACGTACAGAACTGGAGGAGAACGAGGCGGCTCTCCAAGGTCAGTCAGTAGGTAGGTGAGCCAGCGTAACTCCTGTGCAGCCATGGCCCCTGCGTAGATCTCAGCCTCACAGCTGGAGCTGAGAACAGAAGACGAGCGGGTAGACCGCCACGAAACAGAGCCAGAACCAAGGCTGAAGGTGTAACCCTGTGACGACCGCTGCGTAGCCAAGTCGTCAACCCAAGACGCGTCTGCGTGACCAGTGAGGACCACTGAACTCCGCCCTCCAAGCACGAGCCCCATGCCCGACGTACTGCACAAGTAGCGCAACACCCTCTTAGCTGCATCCATGTGCTCTGGTCGGTGTCTCCCAGGAGCAACATAGCGTGCCAGGATGCTAAGAGGGTATGCCAGGTCAGGTCGAGTGCAGGTCATCAGGTACATGAGGCAGCCAACAAGCTCTGGGTACGGGCCACTCGGCTCTACGGACTCATCCAAAGGCAGAGCTGAGAGCGAGTGGCGAGTAGACAGAGGAGTGGCATGAGGCGAGGAGCACGTGAAGCCGAAGCGCTGAAGGACCTGCTGGAAGGAAGGACCAGCACGTCGGTAAGGAAGAACAGGAGAAAGTGGAACCGGAACGACGTCACCACCTTGTACAGCTTGTCATTCCACTCCTTCAGCATCGTGATGACTACCGGCAGGACTGCCACAAACCTGGCGATGGCATCACCACGTGATAGCCACCGTACACTGTGAATTCTTTGCAGCTCCAGAAAAGTCTCGGTAAAAACCTCTTGGAGGTCCTTGAAGCGCTGATGCCATGGACCTGAACGGCCCAGATGCTCGGCAATGGCACGGATGGTGTTGTCGATCATGTTGAAGACAGGTAAGCTCTCGGCAGCATCCTTAGCGGCAAGGGTTTCCCTGCGGCAAAACTCACAGGGACAGTGTATTAGAACAATATCAAGGAACAAATCAGACAAATCATGGACGCAGGATTTAAACTTACCGGTGTGCAATACAATGACAAGAGATGAGGTGCGGTATGCGAAGGCGAAGCCTTGCAACCAAGCCCAACCGTGCTCCCATCATCACGGACGCACCGTCCGTGCTGATGCCCACGATGCGTCTCAGGTCAACACCACACGCCTGCAGGTGGGACAGCAACAACTGCAACAGCTAAGCCGCATCCGCCTTGTCGACCGTCAGCAGAGCCATGAACTCGCAGGCGAGGCGTGAGTTGCGAATGAACGTGACGAACAAGATGAGGTGTTTGCCTCTGCAGCGATCTGTGCTCTCATCGCATGAGATGCCGATGTAGGGACTTGCTAGGATCTCCTCGAGCCGTGTTGTCTGCAGCCACGTTGCCATAGACTGAGTCAGCTCCCCGAATCCATACCTGACAGGCAAACAAGAACATGTAGGTTAGCCCGTGCCATCACAAGATAATAAGTGCAATCAATATTAGGAAAAGGAATTACGTGGTGTAGTACGTCCCGTATCCCTTCTTTGGGAATCCGGGGACTCCCTTCTCAGCAAGGTAACGGACCAATCCCACCCACAGACCCATTGGTGCATCTTGCCTGCTGACAAAGAGTAGGGCATCCATCAGATTCACCACTCGGACCTTCTCGCTGTCGTGCGCGAGTGGATGCTCGTCAATCCGTGCCTGCCTCGTCGCGCCAACGAGCTGATCCTGCCGATGTCTCGCGAGCTTGTGCTTGTTGGTGGCAGCGTGTCGCATGAATGCCTGCTTTTGAACATCGACTGCCCCTTCGGTGCACTTGCCGGTCTTGCCAGACAATCCTGCATTTTCTGTACACAGAGAACACTTGAAGGCAGGGTGACCAGTTGAAGTTTTGACAAGCTGCAACCAGGCGAATTGACCTTGCCAGTGTGTCAAGAGCAATGGCATACAGCTCCTCGGCAGTAGCTGACGGCTGGTTCGAGGCTGCAGCTTCGAGTACGGGCGGAGTGGGCACCTTGGTGGGTGCTATCAGTGGCGCTGATGAAGGTCGAAGGAAGTTCAACTTTGTATGGACAAGCCGAGCAGCCGGGGACGCCGATGCAGCTGCGTGAGGGTGAGATGCAGGTGGAACGGGCCGACCGGCAGGGGACGCCGCTTCGTGAGCAGCTAGTTGCGTTGCAAGTGGAACGGGCCGACCTGCAGGGGACGCCGCTTTGGGAGCAGCTGGTTGCGATGCAGGTAGAATGGGCCGAGATGACGGGGACGCCATCTCAAAACCTGGTGGAAGAGCCGGAGATGTATCCATAGGAGAAGCCGGGGACGGTGCTGCTGGTGTTGACGGCTCGACATGTACCGTAGTGGGTACCGTGTCGGTGACATCGGGTGGCGTTGCGGTGTTATTAACTGGGGCGACAATTGAGTCTGGTGGGGAGGAAGTTACGGTGCAATTAGCCGTAACTGAAGTAACGGGCAGATTCTTGCTACAAGGTGGGATGGTTGCTTTAGAGAGCGAAGACAGCAACAGGTCTAGACCCGTGCGTGCTATCTCGATCTCTATGTCGTCAGCATCTTCGTCGGCAGACGCTGTCAGACTTATATGCTATAGTCTGTGTAGGCTGTAGTGGGTTAGACTATATGGGGTACAACACTTTTAGGTTTTCCTACTTGTACCCACCTGTTTCCTAGTGCATTCATTCCGTGTTCTTATTTTCACATGGTATTAGAGCAGAATCGTTCCTAGGGCCCACCGAACGTTCCGCCCTGCCCTAACTGAAATATTTT